GCAACAGTGCCAGGAGGGAGAGGAGCCCGCTGCTGTCGACGACGGCGGCAGGCTTCACGAACTCGATGGCGCATGTGACGAAGGAGAGTTTTTTGATTTTGATCCTGATGTTTCTGGCTCGGGGTTCCCCGACGATGATGGGGAAGACCCTTGGGCCGACGAAACATGTTTTTCGCATGCGCCTGTTATGGCACCCGCTCCTCCGTGCACCAGTCGCTCCGAGGATGAGGTGGAGAGGCCACCTTTACAGCAGGCCCCCGCCCGCGGTGTGCTCAGCAGACAGGTGGTGCAGTATCCTTGCACTCTGGAGGAGGAGTCTCAAGTTGGCGAGCTTTCGAGGGGGCGCCGGGCCCACCCCAGCGACGGCACTGCCCAGGATCCTCTGGCCAGGGACGTTTCGGACGCCCGTCCCACTCCGGCTGCTGATGCGCCTGCTGCTTCCTCCCCGTCTTTTGCTCTTCCGTCAGCACTTTGGCTCAAACATCAGAACCAGGTTGGTTGGTTGTCACACTCTCTTCAAGACGTCTGGCCAGCGATTCGCTCATCGCTCGCGTATGCAGCTGGCGGGCCCCACATCCTGGCTATCAGTGGTCGTTTCGCAGCATGGGTGTCAGTGGCGGAACGATGTCTCAGTGAACACCATCATCTTGACGCACCAGCTCGCTCCAGGGCTGCAGGGCCTTCTCAAGAGGTGGGGCCAGTCCATGCTGCAGCCCGCATTCGCGACCAGCCCATGCGGGACGTGGCAGCATCTTGGTGGGCCCGCATTCACACTCTCGTTCAACGTGTCGAACGGCATCGGCGACGGCGCAACGGCGCGATTCAGGTCCAGCAGCTGGCGGCAGACGCACGGAGGCTTGCACTCGACGTCCCTGCTGGTGTTCAGTCCTTGTTCCCAGCAAGTGGCGGCGTCTGGACCGACTGGCTCGCTGCCATGCGGCAGCTCGAGTTCATGGAGCTCCCAGCGCTCACGGCTGCCGTCGCTCTTGCAGACCGAGGCGCACGGCGAGGCCGTGCGAGAGCCACGCGGCAGTCTCTGCAGGAGTTCCAGGAGTGGATTGGCTCGCAAGGCGCTCTGGGCATAGTCCACAGGAGCATCAAGCGGGACCCTCTCGCCTCGGATGAGCTGCATTTCGAAGGAGGTTGCGCTGTACACCCTATCGAGATCGTGGATCGCAAGGTTCTTCGCTGGCACAAGCTCTGGAAGTCTACGGAGCTCACGTACACCAAGTATTTGGCCACCATGGACCGTATCCGCCAGTTGGGTATGGTCGAGGAGCTGGTCCCTTTGTCAGTGGCCGACCTGCGGCATGCGCTTCGGCGCATGAAAGCGCGGGCTGGCCTGGGCGCCGACCAGTTGTCACCAGTGGACCTGGAGCGGCTGCCCGACGAGGGCCTCGACGGCTTGTGCCAGCTTTTCCTCATGGTGGAGCAGGGCATGTCCTGGTCCTGGCAGCTGCTCATCGTCATTGGCCGCCTCCTCGCCAAGAAAGGAGGAGGCGACAGAGTTATCGGATTAGTCACCATGCTTTGTCGAGTTTGGAGTATGGCTCGTGAAGAGCAGATGCGACAATGGTCATCAGATTCAGCCCCCCACACTGGGACGCTGCAGTCGCTGGCAACAGCGCGCTGCGGGAGGCCTTTCTCAGGAGCCTCAACTCTGAAGTGTACTCCCGCATGGGGGTTGCACACGGCGAGGCGCTACTGGACGTCGCTTCCTTTTACGACAGTATAGAGTTTGAAGTTCTGGCAGACACGGCAGCGAGGCTCAGCTTCCCTCCTGTTATCCTATTTCTGGAGATGCAGATCTGCGCAGCCCCGCGTGTTGTCTCCCAGCTCCAGTCTTTCTCACTCCCTTTCCAACCCGCCCGCAGCGTGGTCCAGGGGCTGAGGAGCGGCACCAGATTCGGACGGTGCCTCACATACTTTGCCCTAGAAAAGTTGTGCACGGCTCACCCCAATATGACAGAACGCATATGGATCGACGATCTGGCCCAGAAGGTTTTTGGCTCTCGGCATCAGGTACGGACGACTTTGATTGCTGGTGTTGCCGACACAGTTGAGGAGTTCAGTCGTGTTTCTTTGGGTATAGCTGCTAAGAGCGTTGTCGTGTGTTCTCATCACGCCGACGCCAAGGCAGTCGCTCGGGCACTCAAAGCAAAGGGCATCGTTCTCAAGGCGGAGCTTCAGGCGGCCTACCTGGGAGTTGACCAGGGTGCAGGCAAGCGAGGAGCTCGTGCCACCGCCCGCAGGCGCGTGGTCAAGGCTCGAGCCCAGCACGGACGGCCGCGACGCTTCGCGGCCGCGTCACGGCGCTTCTGGGTTACGGCACGGGTGGAACGTGCGGGGCCGCAGGCAGCCGCCATGTGCGGGCACCAGATCTACGGGGTGTTCGGCACGGCTGTGCAGCAGCAGCGTCGGAGCCTGGCAGCCGCATCTGGCAGGGTACGCCGCGGCCGCTGCACCACTACCTTGCTGGGGATTCGAGCCCCCACAGCTGATCCAGGTGTTCTTCTTCCACGGCAGTGCCTGGCTCAGTGGCTTCAAGTTTGGATTACCGAGCCCTCTCTCAGGGCGGGCGTTTACCGCGTATGGCCACAGGTGGTATCCCATCTCAAAGGTATCCCTGAGAGCCAGAGGTCACGGCACATCCGCGGCCCACTCTCCGCTGTGGCGGCGCACCTACTGCAGGCAGGCTGGGACCCGAAGACTCCTTCTGAATAGGTTTTGCCGAATGATTGCGGGCAGCACTCGTGGATCTTTGATGACGAGGCTCTCTGCTCACTTGACCAGGCTGACGACTTATTAAGGGAGTTTGAAGGGTCTCTAGCCCTGCGGCAGTGGCGTTTCGCTGCCGAGCTGCATTGCGGAGCAGGGCTGGAGGGAGGTGCAGATCTTTTGGGTCTTCGGAAGTTCATACATAATCTTCAGTTTGTGGATCGTGGCCGTCAGTTGTCAGAGTTGATGGTTGCTATTTCAGTCGCAGGTGTTTGGGCCAAGGCGAGGAAGTATGAGGTTCAGTTGTGTGCTTCCAATGTGTGCGATCGTTGTTCTGAGGCTCCCGAGTCCGACTTCCATCGCAACTGGGCGTGTGCATGCAACGCTGATTCTCGTGCCTTCGCAGACTCAGACCAGTTTGCGGCTGAGGCCATGGCAGACCAAGAGGCGCATGCATGCTTCTGGAACCGTGGTCTCATTCCAGCGGCATGGACCGCAGTCCCCCCCCCAGCAGGTGAGGAATGCTGGCGAGGCGGGAACCTACTCACGGCTGAAGCAGGGCCAGGATGTCTGGGCCATGGCACAGCCGACCTCCCTGTTCGAGTGTTTGGAGATGCGTCAGGAGGTCGTGACACCCACGACCCACGCCTCCGTCGTGTTGGACTTGCAGTGTGTGTTATCGCAGCATTCGACCCCTTCCGTCTGGGGCCACATCTGTTCGGACCGCTAGTCGGAGGTGTGCAGACAGTGGCGAAAGGCGAACTGGTGGCTCTGGAGCTGGCGATTCGATGCACTACGGGCCACCTTATATTTATCACAGATTGTGAGGAAGTCTGCAGAGGATGGTGGGCCAGAGCATACAGCCGCCCCGCTGGCCAACTAGCGGGCATCTGGAGGCTTATTGGTCGACATCTTCAGTCTCGTTCCCCGACCGAGATCGCAGTTGTTCAGATCCCTTCCCACCTCGAGGCCGAAGAGGTGGTCCGTCACAATCACTCGAGCTGGATGGTGCAGGGCAACGAGGCTGCAGACAGACTGGCGCAGGAGGCCGCCACAGACCATCGAATGTCGGAGGTCGATCGATTTCGCGTTCAGTCCGTGGAGCAGAAGGCGCTGCTGGCACGGCGGAGGCTGCTGCGGGCAGCGCTGTGCAGCATCCAGAAGGAGCGTGAGCTGGCCGCGGAGAGCGTGCGGCAGCGGCGCGAGGCGCGGCAGCAGCAGCAGCAGCAGCCCGATGGCAGCGAGTTCGAGGCCGCCACCCCTGTTGCTGCCCCGCCGCCTCTCCCTCCCCCCGCCCCTTCGACCATTGCCCGTTTCGGAACCAGTCACGTGCTCGGTGAGGACGGCAGGAGTTGCGTAGTGTGTAAAAGCTTTGCGAGTCGGGCGTCTCGGGATGTCTGGCTTTCTAGTGAATGCACGCCGCTTGAGAATGTTGATGGTAGGGTGTCTCGGGTCCGTCGGGGGTGCCGTGTACATGTCGCTGGGGGGTGGGCCCACCCCTCGCACGCCCTAACGTTTCATCATAGTCTTGGAATATGGTTCTGCAGTGATTGTGGCTACTTCGGCCAGGCCCAGCTCAGGGGCCTCGGTAGCCCCTGCACCCTCCCCATTTCCAGGACCAGGCGCGAGTACCTCGATCGGATCTCTCGCGACCTGTTTCCCAAGGTGTAACTGAGCCACGAGCGTTGCTCGTGTTAGAGATCTTTTTCGCTACGCGAAGGCTGTAATCCCTGTAATCCCCCCCTCTCACCCCCCCTCTCTCCTGTCTCCCCCCCCCTCTCCTGGGGGCTGGCAGGGGGTGGAGGTGCCGAGCACTGAATTCATCAGTTAATGACGTCTCCCCCCCCCCTCCCCCCCTCCCAAGCAGAGCCAAAGCTCATGCTGAAGCAGAGTTTCAGCTTAGATTCCTTAAACTCACACGCCGGATTGGTGGATTTCTCACTATTGTAACACTCCTCCTCCTCCTCACCTTCCTCTCCTGCCGATGCAGACGCCGACGTAGACGACGGCGACGGCACCGCCGACTCCGACGACGACGACGACGACGGCGGCGGCGGCGACGACGACGACGACGACGCCGCGATGCCGACGCCGACGGTGACTGACTCCGCCGCCCGCGCCGACGCCGACTCAGACGCCAGCGACGCTGGCGCAGATGCCGACGCCGCTGGCGCAGATACCGACGCTTACGGGCGGCGACGACACCGACGCCGACCACGACGCACGCCGACCGTGACGACGACGGCGCGGACGCCGACGACGGCGCGTGCCCCTGCCGGGAGGCGAAGGGCCCCGCCGCGGCCACGGACAGGAAGAGCCAGGCGGGCGCCTTCGGCGCGGAGGCGTCCGCCGCCGCCGCCATCTCCGCGCCCGACGCGTCTGTGGCGGCAGCCGGGCGCGCCCTCCCGGCCGCGCTGGGGCGCCATCTCGGCTCAGGCACAGCAGGTCGCCACTGGCAGGGCCAGCATCCCCTGGGATCCGGGCGTTGCAATATCTCGCCATCGCTCGGGCGTCCATTCCCTGTGTTTTTTTCGGTTTCGTGCGCGTTCTCTTCGCCAAGTCAAGGATGCTCCTCGATGGTCCTCGCCGAAGGAAAAATGCACACGTCCGAGCAATGCCAAGATATTCGTCGCGCCGGGCGTTTTCGCCCAGTTCGTCAGGCCCCAGGACCGTCACAGATCGATCTTGCTCGAGACAAGCCGCGGAAAGATGGGGTTTTGGGCTCGGGTCGTGTTTTTGTAGCCAAGCCCTGGGTGGGTCCACAGCCGATTGAAGATTGAAATATTCAATCGGCGACTTCAGTATTTGAGTTCAAAACCTCGGAATTGAATTCGGCCGCCGCCACTTCACTATTGGAGTTGGAAGCCCCAAGTAGAAATTCTGAAAGGTTCAATTCTGGTCTCCAGAATTGAAATATTGAAATTAAAATCTCAATATTGAGTTTTAGCTCAATATTGGGTTTCAAATCCAATATTGGGGTTTGAACTCCAATAGTGAACTCAGGATGCCGTAGGCCAGGCCAGAGGAGAAAAGGGAAAAGCTCGCACTTCCCAGGCTGGGGAGAGACAACGGGCAGAGTGGGGGAGGGGGAGGAGGTGGGGGGGGAGGAGGAGGCCGTAGCATGAAAAGCACGCCCCGCCCAAAACAGCCACCCGAGGCGTTTGGTGACTGTTTTGGGCCCGCCCGCCCAGAACAGTCACCAAGAGCCTTGGGTGACTGTTCTGGGCGGGGCGGAGCCCCGCGGGGTGGACATTAAAGCACGACGCAGCTCTCGCGGTGGCAGGCGCTTGCTCTAGCTTGCTCTAGCGGGCCGGTCTGGCCGGGCGGGCGGGACCTTACATGTTGACGCAGCTCTCGAGGTAGCGCGCGCTTGCCCTGGCAGACCCGTCGGGTCGGGCGGGCGGGACGTTAAAGCACGACGCAGCTCTCAGGGTACCCAGGCACTTGCTCTAGCGGGCCGGTCGGGTCGGGCGGGTGGGACGTTAAAGGTTGACGCAGGTCTCTAAGTAGCACGCGCTTGCCCTAGCGGGCCGGTCGGGTCGGGCGGGGGGGACATTAAAGCACAACGCAGCTCTCGAGGTAGCGTGCGCTTGCTCTAGCGGGCCGGTCGGGTCGGGCGGGCGGGACGTTACAGGTTGACGCAGCTCTAGCACACGCTTGCCCTAGCGGGCCGGTCGGGTCGTGCGGGCGGGACATTAAAGCACAACGCAACTCTCGAGGTAGCGCGCGCTTGCTCTAGCGGGTCGGTCGGGTCGGGCGGGCGGGACGTTAAAGGTTGACGCAGCTCTCTAAGTAGCACACGCTTGCCCTAGCGGGCCAGTCGGGTCGGGGGGCAGGTTTGAAATTGCGAACTCAGGAGGAGGAGGATGAGGAGGAGGAGGAGGAGGAGGACGGACTTTTTCGCCACGGGCGCCCGGCCCAAATCAGTCACCGGAGCCTCTTGGTGACTGTCTTGGCGGTGGCGTGGATTCAAGCGATGAAGATCGGCAGCAACCGGAGGAGGGAGGAGGAGGAGGAGGAGGAGGAGGAGGAGGAGGAGGATGAGGAGGAGGAAGAGGAGGAGGAGGAGGAGGAGGAGGAGGAGGAGGAGGATGAGGAGTTGGAGGAGGACCAGGAGGAGGAGGAACTATGCCTCTAACCTCCACTTTCGCAGGTCAATCTAAAGTCCAATATTGGACTTCCCAACCCCGGAATTGAAAAACCCCAATATCGGGTTTCGGAAACTCCAGTATCGGTGTTGGAACCCCGATATTGGACCAAGACCTCAATATTGAACCCCAAGATTTGGAAAGTTCAATATGTCAATCCGGAGTTTGACGACTCCATTTTTGTTTATTTCAATATAGGAGTTTGGGAACTCCAATATTGAAGGTGGGGATTGATCTTTTTCAATTCCGGAGTCGAAGCCCTAATTTTGGGGACCCACTGCCGGTGGAGCTAACGTGCTTTTCACGATGTGTCAATGTTTGGCGACGTCGGATCTCAGGGTCATTCAGGGGCAACGTTAGAGGGGTGGATAGGCTCAGGGGGGGATGCATCGACCCTCAGGCACCCACCCCGCCCATGAACGTGGGGCTCCGATGCATGCTGCTGTCAGGGCCCTGTCACCGACCTATCGGCGATGCATCGCCGATTCTAATTCGGTGTTTCCCCTCCTGAGCTGGTTCCCCCCGATCGTTGCCCCCATCGCTGCAAGGAGCCTCCTGAGGTCCTCCTTCATCGCGAATTCTAGCGGGCCTCGTCCGTGGGTGTTGCTGGGGGTATCTGCCGCGGGGGGGGAGTTGTGCAGAGGAAGAGGGAGGATGGGGAGTAGGATGGGGAGATAAGAATGGAGCAGGATTGGGTGTGGAACAATGAGGAGGACTAGGAGGAGGAGAAGGAGGAGGAGGAGGAAGAAGAGGAAGAGGAGGAGCAGGAGCAGGAAGAGGAGGAGGAGGAGGAGGAGGAGCAGGAGGAGGAGGAGGAGGAGGAGGAGCAGGAGGAGGAGGAGGAGGGGGGGGGGGTCGAGGAAAAAGAGGAGGAGGATATTAGAGGGCAACGCCAGCTACGAATTTTCGGCCTTCGTTCAGGCAGAATAGGTGGGGGGCGGAGGCTGAGAAGACGTGTATCTAGCGTGCCATCATGGGCATAAGCGAAGTCAAGGTGTGATGACGTTACCCATAGTGCGAGACACATACGTTAGTTAATCGCCAAGTTGCCGAAATTCAAGGAAGACGCCGCAGATGCGTACACTTTATATAGCGGTATCGGGGGCGCGTCGGTTGATGCCACTTTGAGAGTGCATTTTTGCTTGTCGTGCTCAGCTGTATTGCTCTGACAGCGGGTGGCCACCGCGGCAGCCGCTTGCGGCCAGGAGATCACAGCCATCAACCAGCGGGTGCGGAGAATGCTCGGGATCGAAGCGGCGTGCTTGCTTTTTACGTCAAGCAGCGTCTCTGTGCATGTGTGGCATTCGCGGCTCACTGCTTCCCTACACTCACGCATGGGTGATTCTTCGTTCACAGTTCTTCCCCGTCACAAGCGTCTTGCGCAGGCTTGTTCTGGTTCCGCGAGCCATCAGTTCCAAAAGCCAGGATGACCAAGTCCGTTTGCATGTGTGTCATGTGAAGCAAGCAGATACCTCTAGCCGATATTTTCGCTTTCACATGGCCACGCGGCTGCAACGCATCCCCATATGCGCTTCTTATGTGTGACTGCTTCATTCTGAGACCGATCTAGCGATCGTTTGGCTACGCGCTCACCTGTTTGACTTTCCTGCTCCTTCATGTTTCCACCTCACATGTGCGAGCTTTCTGGAGATATGCGATTGTTGGCTCGAGTACTGGAGATGTTGCGATTGGCTGGTATCGAACTGAATGCGCCCTCTGGGACACCGACCGTTGAACCGCAACCGGCGCAATGAGCTTTTCGCTTCATCGTCATGCGTGCTCTTGCTACTCTTCTTGAACTGCTCGCGCCTATATTGATTGCTCACAAACAGCGCTGCATTGCCATCGTTGACGCTTCTTCTCGTTTGCACTGACTTTGGAGACCTTCGGCTCGGACCATACCTTCATTGGATGTTCGCGTCGGGAGCCTCTAGTTAGGTCGGGCACTACAGGCGGATTTCGGGCGACAAATGAAAAATACTCAAACAATATTGCAAAGAAATTGAACATTATAAAGTCGTCCCCAGACTATTTTCGACTATTGTGGAATAGTCCTCCTGTAGAGGGACGGGCCCGACTTCACTCTAGCGGCCGGAGAGGTGCGCGCTTCTCCATGGGGTCCGCGGCGCGATATGGGGTGCAGCCGGAGGAGGGGCGCAGTCAGAGAGTGCCCTCCAGGACGGTGCTCTGGGGGGCAGGGCGTGGGCAGGGGCAGCGTCTGCAGCGCCTTGGGTATGGCCTGCAGATCCCCAGATGGGAGCGGTGGATGATACAGTGCCGTTTTTGATACATGCTCCGCGTGCGGATCATGCATGAAAAAGACATGGATGTAGTATCAAAAACAACGATGAGTTCATGCATGAACTGTTTCATCCCTGAACCATGTATCCAAAATCAGATATCTTACGCAGAACAAGTCGATGTATTACAAGCGGCCCTGTGGTCACGGTGCCTCGCCCCTCCTCGGCGCGGGGCCCTCGGAGGGCGCTCCTCGTGTCGAGGGCCCCGCGGCGCAGGCTCCCGGGCCTCGGCGGGCGGGGCGGGGCGAGAGGTCTCCGGCCTCCCGGCGCGGCAGGAGCGGAGGCGCCCCCCTTGCAAGGCTGCAGGCGCCTCGGCTCGTTCGGAGTCCCGCCTGCTCGGACCCCACCCTGGGGGCGGAGGGGGTGGGGGCGAGGGGGGAGGAGGGAGGGGGGAGGGGGGAGGAGGGAGGGGGGAGGGGGGAGGGGGGAGGGGAAGCCCAGACATGCGAGGCCCTGATGTTTCCAGCGCCTCCGCCTCGTTCGTTCGGGTTGGCCCCAGCGGGGCATGCCGAGGACATTCAACCGGACCGAGCTGCTGGAGATGGACGCGGCTGCCTTGCTGAAGATCATACGGGAGAAGGACTGGCAGGGCCCGAAGTGGGACACCCTGCGCGAGGGCCTGAAGAGGGGGAGGCTGGAGCGCGAGTCCGCCGAGCGCATCCTGGAGCAGCAGGAGCTCGGGGGGTGGGAGCGGCCGCGGGGCCCTGGCGTCTTTGCTGGCGTATGGGGTAGCTGCTCGCACACGGCCGCGTGGTTCAGCACTGCGTGCGCACGGGCGCACGCACGCGCACGCGCCCAGGCGTTTTGTGGCCATGTCGGTTCAAGGCTGGGAGGCATCCGCGGTTCGCCCAACGTCCCTCCCAGGACTGCCCCAGGACTGCGAGGACGGCCGTTGGACGTGGCAGATGCCTTGGAGGGCCCGAGCAGATGATGCCAGCGTCGTTCACGGTTGCCGGGGCTTGCGCCGATAATGTGTGCAAGCATTCTGTTGTCGCAAAAACACAAGAAGTTTTGGGCACCCACCTCGACCGAGCGAACAAGCTCCTCCTCCTCCTCCTCCTCCTCCGTAGCCATTTTGGCTCAAGGTCCAATGTTCCCCAGGGACCAAGTGGATACCGCTAGTCCGCGGCCGGCAAGACCCCTGTGGTCTGGCAGTGTTTTGCATCGATCCGCGCTCGTGCGGTCGGGTAAACGGAAGCGTTTCCCGTTCCTGGCCGCCCGATCGCTCAGCCCCTCCTCTCATGGGATTACCCATGGGATTACCGACTGAAGCGGACAATCGACGTCTGGCTGATGAGTTGGAGGCGGCCCCCACGTTCCCTTCACAAGAACGAATGGCTGGCTCTGGCAAGGGGGGCAAAGGCGGTGCGGCTAGTGCTGCTTCCCCTCGTCCTGCTGGTCCTCCTCCCACTAAACGGCGCACGCCAGCAAATGGTGATGTCAGCATCGGTGAAGTTGATGAGTGGGATGGAGATGACTATATGCGAGAGCTGTGCAAAGCCGAGCTCCTGCCTCTCATCGAGGAGTGGAAGGCCCATGCCAAAGAAGAACTGGGCAAGTCTGTCAAGGAGTCCGTGGCCGCTGGCAACCAGACCGTACTCGAGTTGCTCGAAGCTGTTCGCCAAATGGTACAGGACAACCAAGCTACCATGGATGAGAAGATTATGTCAGTCGTCAGGCCGCAAGTGGATGATGTATCGCGTCGCCTTCAAGCCCAGCTGGATGAACAACGAGCTCTCATCGGTGATCAGGGTCGCCGCATCAATGAGCACGACACAGCAATCGACGCCCTCAACCGACGCCTGGATGATATGCAGCGAGCATTGGCACTGGCAAATGAGCGACCACAACCACCCCCTCGGGTTCCTGCGGGCTTCGACCGCGACCCTGACGGCACGATCGTGGTGGCGATGTCGCAGAAGCACACTACTGTGGCCCATGCACGTGAAACCCTTCAGCCATTTATCGGTGGGCTGGGCTATGAGGCGTCGGAGTATGAGATCAAAGCTGCGGGGGCCGAACCTTCCAAACGCTTCGTTGTGGCCTTCAAGGGTGCGGTGGCTCCAGCGACACGCAAGGCGAACACGGTGTTGCAGAACCTCAAGGTGGACAAGCAGTGGCGGGAGTTCACGGTCGGCGTCACAGGAACGGCTGACTGCAGGCTCTTTCTCGGACCAGACAAAAGTCCGAAACAAGTTAAGACGGAGATACTACTTCGACGGTGCCGCTCGGAGATTGCGAATGTGTACCCTCAGGCCAAGCTGTTCACGGACCGTGAGAGAGGTTGTCTGCTGGTGGGCTGGGACAAGATTCTCAAAGTGGAGGTTGGTGCGGGACAGGATGAATCAAAGCTCCATTGGGAACCCAACCGTATCACGAAGAACAACATGGACATCGAACGACTGCGGGCATGCACCAAATGCTTGGTCGAACCCGCGGCTGAGGAGCAGTGGTGTCTTTAATGTATGGCATCTGTTTCGTCATTCTGCCCCTCGTGATGGGATGCCTCCTCGTTCACTACGATTCGCATCATGGAACTGTCGCTCGCTACTTCAGGCGGGTGGGCAGAAATCCAGCTTGAAGAAGCACTACCTTTCACGCTTGCGCTTGCAGGAGACAGTGGTGGCCCCCCAAGAGGTTCGCCAAGATGAGGTCCAATTTCAGTCATATCTACGTGCCGTCGACCCCTTCGTGCACATTGAGTCATCTTTCGGGGACTCGCTGATTCGCGGAGGAGTGGCAGTTTTGATTCCACCATTGCTGTCTTCAGCAAACGGGGAGACTCGTGTTGAGTCGCAGCCTGTGGTGGCCGGCAGGGTCATTCGAGTTGCTATTCTTGCACCAGAAGCTGAGCTCATCATATATAATGTACACAACCATGAGCTTGATGCTGGTACTGTTCGTGACGTCGTTCGTCGAATTCGATACGATCTCTCATATGCGGAGGAGTTCCCAGACAAAGCATTGGCGATCATACTGGGCGGCTTCAACTTTGCGGCGGAGGAGGCGCTCATCCTGGATTCAGCTGTGGCCGCGGTGAAGCAGCCAGAGCGGCGCCATCATGGACGTGCTGCGATATGGAAGCAAGCCTTGGGGGCATGCTTGAGTTCGAGCACTCGCTCCCGACGCACTTCGACCGCCATGCGGGCACGGAGGCGGCGATTGACCGCATCTTCTGCTCCCTCCCCAGCTGGCAGGCCTGCCAGCTGTTTGTGATGGCGACGACGTTGGACGCTCCTGCATGTGTGTCTGATAAAGGGATTTCGGATCATGCTGCTATTATTGTTTCTTTGACCCCTCGCAGTGCACGTTTGCCAGAGACTAGGTGCGTGCCCAAACATGTGTCTCAGGACCCTTGGCTCCAGAAGAGGTTGGCGGGGCTCGTGTCGGACTCTAAGCTGGATCTCTTGTCGCCCCCGTTCCAGTTGGAGCACTTTAAGGGCCTCGTGCAGATCGCTGGGAGAGAAACCAGAGACCAGATGTTCAAGACCCTCCCCGAGCACCCCAAGACCCTCCTCTTGCTCTCCAGGATGATTGCGCGAGTGACCTGGCGTCAGGACTGGCAACTGGCTTCTCGCATTTTAGCGTCGCATAGCTTGGCATCTGCACATGTGCGGGTGGATGGGCATGCTGTGGTGCTACTTCATCCACCGTCGTTCCAGCAATGGTGTGCGCAGGTACAGCGGGATGCTGCTGACCTGGAGCGGTCTGCGTTATCCTCGTCTGCCTCGGCATCGACTCCTGGGGCTTCCTCGCGATCGGCTCGGATGCAGCTCAGGGCTCTAGAGAGAAAAGCTCGGTTGTGGTCTCCCATCGGTCGTCCACTTGCTCTGACATGTGTGCATGGGTATTCTGATCATGTTGTCTCGGATCCCCAGGAGAAACTGAGAGTTCTAGGTCAATGCTGGGGCCCTGTAGTTGCTAAGAAGTCTTGGGATCAAAATACTGCGTGTACTTATATTCGACAGTGGCTCCCGCCAGTTGGGGATGTTCATCTTCCTCCGCCGACCCCTCGTCTTCTGCGACGTGTCCTGCGATCGGTGCAAGACTCTGCTCCTGGGATCGATGGGGTGCCGTATGCTGCTTGGTCTGCTGATCCTATGGGTGCCAAAATTTTGTGGAATGCACTCGAATGGCTGTGCGATGGGCAGGCGCTCTTCGACTGTGCTAGTGCTACGATCCAGGCCTTTCTTCCCAACGAGATCGCCGATGCCGAGCTGCGTGATGGGTCTTGCACGCGGAGCCCAGAGAAGGTGCGGGTATTTGGCCTACGGAACACAGATATTAAAATTATGTCGTCGGTGATGAACTATGCTGTGCGTCCTATACTCGAGGTGGCTGTGCCGAGCTGTCAGCGCGGGTTTATCCCTGGACGTAACTTCGGGGCCAATGTGCTGGAGCTCGATGTGCATGCGCGTTGTCAATCGGTTGCCCCGTCTGGTTCCCTGGATTACCCAGTTTTGTTTTCCCTGGATTTCGGCCAGGCGTTCCCCTCTCTCAACCAGGACTTCCTGATGTTCGTGCTCTCCTGCCTCGGCCTCCCTGACGTTCTCCTCACCTTTATTGCGCGTTTGTATGAAGCCATTGAGGGCGTGGCGTCGTTGAAGGGGGAGTTCGTTAGGTTGTTCTGGATTCGGAGTGGTATTGTGCAGGGTGACGCTTTATCGGGCTCACTTTATGCTCTTGGGACAGCAGCCTTTCTGTGGGATCTGGCTACCTGTATTGATGGGGACATGAGGGGACTTATAAGGGCGTGTGCTGATGATATAGGTGGGGTCCTCTCGGCAACTCGACATCTAGTTCACGTGTATCGTGTTATGTCACTGGCCGAGACACTAGCGAATCTGCAGCTGAAAGTCGCTAAATGTAAGGTGGTTCCTTTGTCTGGTCGGTTTGATATCTCTCTCCAGGGACATGTCAAAGATGCTATCGCTCATGTCGTTCCTCGGTGGGCCTCGTTCGATGTTGTTCCCGAGCTCCTGTACCTTGGCCTCTGGCTGGGCCCCGCTGCGGATTCGAGAAGATGCTGGATTGACCCCATAGCCAAGCTTCGTCTTCGTGCCCTCGCTATTGCTCATGGAGTTACCCCGGCTAGTATCCCGGCGATTCTGTATAACCAACGCGCAGTGTCCACTTTATCGTACATATCGCTGTTCTGTTGGCTTCCGCCGCCGTTGTTGCGGCTCGAGCTCTCCGTCTTGGCACAGGTCTTTCGTGTTCCCTTGGGCGCGTTCACACTCAACAGCTGGACTCAACTTGAGAAGTGGGGCTGCCCGCGTGTGCTCAGGTGGGGACATCTCAATACTGCGTCATTGGTCCGTTCAGCTCTATTGACCTTTCCACAACATGCGGAGATTTTGTCCCGACTGCGGGCGCATGTGGAGGCACACCCGATGTGGCACTCCTTAGATATGCTTGGCACGGGACGTCTCTATCCTGGTTTCTGGAAAGCCCCTGCCTTTGTGGAGACCTTGGCTGATGTCGCGAGTGGAGTGGCTCTTGGACCCCGCGAATGTCGGATGGTGGCTTGTGCGCTTCCCGTGGCGCATGATGATCTGATCCCGCAAATGGGCAAACGGCTGCGACCACAGCGTGCTGCTCATCGCGCTCTTCGCGAAGCTGATGAAGTGGAGGCTCCTCTTGTGTCGCTGCTGAGGAAGCGTCTTGGCAAGC